GGGGGGGGGGGGGAAGAGGTGTCCCTGCCAGGCTGCTTGAGAACTTCTGCTCCGCGTCCCCCGGGGTCCAAGTACCCTCTCATCGACTTGGGAACCAGCCTAATTAACACCTAATATGCTCAGACCAACCCCCCGCTCCCCACACACACAGGTAGACTGGAAACCAAGGAGGGGGACGGAGACTGGGACGTGGGGGGCTCTCTCCTGCAGCCAGCCAGAAGCTGCCGCCGCCGCGCCCAGCGCGTCCCCGGGGAATCAGGTGTCCGCCAGGGCAGGGAGCCTCGGCGGGTCGCAGACAGTCTAAGGGCCAGACAATGGGAAACTTGGGAGTCAGGGCCCGGAACCCCCAGGGGACAGAGCTAGTGCTGTCCCCCGGGACAATGAGCAGAGAGAAGGCATCACACTCCCCCTTAGGGAAGCCGCCGGCCCAGGGGACCCAGCAGAGGCCAGAGCGGCGCCCGGGGTGAGCAGGTGACACGGGGCCCCGAGCTCCCGCAGGTGGCGGGCGAGCGGCAGTCTGGGGCGGGGGTGGGGGGACACGCAGCCCCGCGAGGTCAGGGCGCCGGCCGCCGCGCCCCCAGCGTCCTACCTTCATGTCGCTGATGATGGTCTGGAAGAGGCCTCCGAGAGCGCTGCATTCCTTCTCAATCACAGCCTCCATTTTTCCGGCGCGGCGGGAGGACACCCGCTCGGGCCGCTGCACTGCGCGGGGCCGGGCTCGCTCACCCGGGCGGAACCTCACTCCGAACGACCCACCTCCGGCTCGCAGCTTCCCCGCTGCCGGGAGCGCGGAGTTCACGGGCCCGGCTGTCCGATGCCAAAAAAAAAAAAATACCCCACTAACAATAATGTCAGAAACGCGGCCGCTCCGGAGGCTGGCTCTCCTACGTGCAGCGCGCGGCTCCTGGCCTGGCAAAAGCCGGGAGAGGCTTGCCAATCAGGCCACCACTGGTGCCCCGGACAGGAACGGCAGAGCCCATCTTGAGGCAGCGAAAACCACCCGCTGACCCGGGGCCAGCGCCATTGAAAAACGCAAGGTTTACAAACGTTATGAATTTTTTTTTTTTTTTATCTCTCCTCCTAGAATTTAAAAAAATCGCATAGCAGCAGAGCGGGTGTGCTCTCGGCGCCCAGATCTGTTGCTCCGGCACAGCCGCCGCCTCCTTTTCACTTCTGCGCGCTGGGCTCGAGCGCGCGCTGGCTGCGCTCCCGGGGACGTTCGCAGGGGCGCACGCGCGCTCGTGGCCGTGCATGCGCGCGGGAGCGCGGGCGGGGCTGCTGCGGGCGGGGCGGCCGGCGCGTGCCCGCGGGTTGGGGGCGCCCTCTGCAGAGAAGAGCGGGCGCGGGAGGGACCGGCCCCCGACCGAGGACGCCCCGGGCGCTCTCTTCGCCCCCCCCCCGAGCCTTCCCAGGGGGCTCCGTCCTCCGCGGATGGGGAGCAGAGGGTGCCCCCCGCTGATCCCCCGGGTGGCACGCTTGCACAGTGGCACGCCTAGCGAGTGCTCAGTAGGGCGGGAAAGCGACTGTGCTGCAGTCCGCTGAGAAAAGACCCATTCTGCGGTGTCTGGACTGCAAGTCATGATTGCAAATAGTCACATACGCCCTTAAGGGGAGTCGGGGGGCGGGGGGCGGCTGCCTCCTGCAGTGCGCTGCGAGTTCGATAAAGTTGCAGGCTGCTGCGAAAGTGGATTGATTTGTAGTTGCAAAATAAACGGAAACCGCCTTAGACCTCCCTTATATTGTTTCGTCTCTTGATGGAGCTTGCTGACTGTCCAGGCTCAAGCGCTCATGTTTTCGAGGCCCGCAGAGGGCATGGGGTGCTGCTATCGTGGCCGAGCGCCCTGTAGCAAGGGTCAACCCGAAGAGGGCACAGACGGGCCAGGTGGGCGTGGAACCTGCTGGTTGATCTTCCGGGCACCTGCACAGCCCGGCAAGGGAGGGGGCAAGATCAAATGAGTAACTTTAAAAAAGACCTTGAAACGTACCCACCTAACTCTGGACTGTCCCCTTGACCCTTGACCCAGCCATTGGCAGCACAAACAACAAAAGGAAAAAGGCAGGGTGGGGGAGGGTGAAGGAAACCATGTGCTGGCCGCTGCGGAGCCAGGCCGGATTCACTGCCTTTGGAAACCTCAGAAAGAACAGAGCCAGAAGGCGCTGCATAGCTCAGCTGCAGGTCATTCCTCCTTGGGCCTCTCTGTCCAGCCCTTAAAAGCACCCCACCCCCTCCACTGCCCTCAGCCACATTTCAAGCAGGGGTGTCACTTTTGCAATTTGCACATCCCTCTGGGGCCTCCTTCCAGGGGCACTTAACAGGTACTCTGGGGCAGCCCAACAGAACCCTGCCTCCGAGGACAATCTGACGCTGAGGTTTCATTCTCGCCTCGCCAGTGACTGTTTGAACACAGGTTGCTCCCAGTCATGATCACGATTGGGATTTTAATACTGTTCTTGCTGTTGACTCAAATCCTACACAAAAAGGCCCTATGAGAAGGAAAAGAACCGAGAACCGGCTGCAGTGTTGGAGGAGTGGATGGCAGGCCTTTCTGCCACGGAGCCACTAGGTGGGTTCCAACCAGCAACCTTTTGGTAATGCTACTGATATTATAATGATCGTAATTGTGGTTTGTGAGTCTGATTACAGAGGCTCACCCTCCAGCTTTTCAGTCTCCTAACATGATTAGCTGAGTTGTTTAACCCTTCTGGGACTTAAGTTTTCTCATTTGTAAAAAACGGGGATAGTGATCTCATCAGCCTGGTTGTTTTATGTATTACTGGTAGCCTAGTCCCTAAAGCGTTGTCTACTAACTCAAATCCATCCACAGCAGCTGCACCAGGTGGGGTTGGAGCGAAAGACGGCAGTCTCCTCACAGCAGTTTACAACCTTGGATTATGGTCTACTTTGATGAGTCAAATACAGATATATGGCAATGAGACTGGCCTGTAGGGTTTGCAAAGCTAGAATCTTCCTAAAAAGAGGTGGCGCAGTGCCTAAGCACTCAGGTACCAAACGAAAGGTCAGGGTCAGAACCTACCAGCTGCTTCACGGAAGCATTCCTGCTTCTGTAAAAATTACAGCCTTGGACACCCCCCACCCCCCGTGCTAGTTCTCAGTCTCACAGGACCAATACAAGTCAGAATTAACACAGTGGCTTTGGAAACTTAATGGCACAGATTATACATGCCTGTAATTTAAGGCATCAATTCTCTTTCTATCCTCTCTAGTCATACTCCACGGCACATAACAACAACAACAACATAATTTAAGGACAACTCGGACTTGCCCTTTAATATTATATAAATATGCCTACACTTTGAAAGGATTAAAACATCCTTGTTTGGGGCAGGGTGGGCAGGGAAAACCATAAGTCTCTAAATTTTTATTAAAATTAATATAAAAAAATTTTTTAAATCCCTGTTGACAAGGAAAAATGAATCCTGAAGAAATTATGCTCATCTTGATGATCTCAAAATTATGATTTAAACAAAAGAGGGGGAAATGAGGGAAGCCGAATATCAAATTTACTAATAGTAGACCAAATGCTATATCAGGAAATGAATGAGGCTTAATACAAGCTGAAGGTCACCTTGTGGCACTAAGGTGTTCCCTAAGAGTCAACAGTGTTCTTAGTTTGTATCAACTGAATCCCTCCCTCCTGAGAGTAGCATAAAGAGGAACTTGGCCTTATCTGTAAAAGACTTCACCATTATCCTTTTTTTTTTGTTTTGTACTTCCTTATGATTTTATTTTGTTTACCTTCCTTATGATTCCAAATAAATACTCAGAGAAGCATGGCTTGGGGCCTTCAGTCATGGGAACTGTTGGCCCCCTGTTTTTCACACTCTCTGTTCTATAT